ATCTGGGCCTTCATTCCGTCGACGGTGTGGTCGATCTTTACGTGGATTGCGTACTTTAACTCGTTCTTCGGCCTCTCGACCTTTGGCACGCTCAAGCTCCTCACGACGGTCATTGCGATCCTCGAAGGCGTCATGTTTTACTCGTGCTAATCGCATCTACGACGATAAGCCTCTACTATATATAAAGCCTTCCGTATCAATGTCGAAAGCACGGCCCGACCTGGATTTAAACTGCGCTTCGAATGAGAGGATGAGACGATGGGAGGATGCATCGGGAGATGGCGACGCAACTTGGTCTTGCATGCCGGCGAGACAACGCTCGGCGCATTGAGCCCTCGCTGGAGCCCCATAGAAAGGGAAGAGGTTGCTCCAGAGAGATATTATACATGTGATGGATAGTTGACACGGGGTAGGTTTGGATGAAGGTGTATTGATATCTGGGGCGATACAGTTATCGCTTTCGCTTCGACTTGGATCGGGGCTTGGCCGACGACGAAGAGCCTTCGTCGAGCATACGCGGCGACGGGTGGCTCTCGGTCGTGTCGACTGTGAGCTCCCGCTTGCGCAGCGCTCGGCTGACGGGCGCCGATGCGAGGCGCAAGGCCAAGAGCTCGTCCGAAGACTTGTGCTCGACCCACTGCTGCGCTAAGAGCTCTGCTGGCGACGACGTGGACGAAAACGAAAAGATGCGCTGCTGGCTCACGGCGTCTTCTTCGGCCCGCGTCATGTCGGGCGGATTCTCGCCCGAGAGCTCGAGCTCCATGAGCTGGTCCTTCATGACCTCGGCGATAAAGGTCTTGGCCGGCGCCCAGCCCTTCGCAATGTTGCCAGCGTGCTGGTTGCGCCGCAAGTACGCGCCTTCGAGCTCGAAGATTTGCCGCTCGAGCGCCGCGAGCTCGCTCACCTCGGTCTCTCTGCGGTCCATGAGCGCTTGCAGCTGGTCCTCGAGGCTCATCGGTTCGGGCACGACCAAGGGTTCTTCGGGCACCGGTTCAACAGCGGTGCTTTCGCCACCGTCATCCACTACGTTTGCGTCTCCATCATCCGCGGCAGTAGTCTCGTCCGTTGCGACGGCTGGTATGTCTGGCTCGTCTCCTTGCTCCACGACGCTCTGCGACCGGGACGATCGGCGCGGCTGTATGTCGTTGGCGTCGTCCGCAGCATCCTCGAGCGTGTCCACGCCATCTTCAGCGGCCTTTTTCTCGCCGCTCGATGACCGTCGCCGCGGCTGCATGAGCTCGTCCATGGTCAACTGGCGCCGCTTGGGCGCCGGGTCGTCGCCGTTGCTGGTGCGTGGCGTCTTGACCTTGGGCGGCTTCTTGACCTTCGTGGGCCGCTTCTCGGCAGGCAGGCGCGGTGGCGGCCCATGGCAGTGGCACTGGCACTTAACGCAGCCCTTGCACTCGTCGCACTTGCGCGCCTTGCACGGGCACTTCAGCGTCCGCATGCCTGGTTGCGATTGGAATTGGACGGCTCGTATCCGGAGATTCCGGATACAGAACCACATCGCACTCCGAACAAATCGTGCTGGAGAGTCTGCGCTGGAGAGTAAGCTTAGAGTTTGACTGAGAAGACCATCAAAGTCGCGAATACACACACACCTGTTGCTACAGCAGATACACAGGTGCTGACCTCCATTTTCGGTGCAGTGACACACTGTCATGACTCTCAAAAAGGCCTTCCCGATAAGGCCTTTTCGAGGTAGCAAGGGCACACGCACACGTGCGCGGTGTTATTTGATAAGGGCAAGCACACGTCCTTTCTGTCATGAAGCCACCACTCCTTGAATAGATTTCGCTGCCAGCATGAGTGGGAAACAGAAACCAGTGACTAACATTTAGCGATCGTGCAGGGAACGTCTTCAGAACACACCGAGTTCCCCGTGTGTTATCGTCCGCTTCGATGTCCAAATAAAAGCTAAATTCCTTTCTATTTACCACACTTTATATGTGGTAGAAAGCCTGCCATCGATGAGATAGCACGCCACTGCTAAAGACTGACGGATCATTAACGGCGAGGTTCGCATACTAAAGTCGTGAAAACGGTGTCTCTTGATACATTGATGTATTTTGGGTGCGAGGAAGGCGATGGCTTCTACCAAAAGCGCCATTTCTTGTTGCCATACGCAGCCTCGACGTTCCACATGAAGACGTTGCTACACCATAAAGTGGAGTATATGCCCCGTACAAGTGCTGAGTGTAATACCTTCCCCACTTGATGTCGCCGTCCTGCGGCGGGCACCCGCCGTGCATGCTTCTCGGATCGTTCTCGCCCGTCGGCGCCTTGTTGTAAAAGAGGACGCCG